GAGGCATTAAGGAGATCTACTAGACAGAAAAGATTAGACATTCCTGATAACTACATTGTTTGTGCACTTGAGCATGAAAGTGACTTGAGCATTGATAATTATCTAGCTCTTTTAACCAAGCCATACATGATAATAATTCTCCTTGAGAATTATTTTGGCTTTGGTGGCTCATTCTGTTCTTGAGCTCTGCCAAATGGTTGTTAAAATTGCATTTCTGAATGATAAATTAAAAGAGGAAGTATACATGGATTAGCCGCGAGGCTTCATGGCCACAGGAAAGGAAAATCTGGTATGTAGATTGAAGAAGTCGATCTATGGATTAAAACATGCTTCTAGACAATGGTACTTGAAATTGTCATTTGGTTTTGTAGAGATCACTGTTGATCAGTGTATCTACATAAAGGTTTAATGGAAGCAAGTTTGTAATCCTAGTATTACATGTTGACGACATTCTTCTTGCTGCTAATAATAAAGGGATGTTGCGTGATGTTAAGGAATATCTTTCTAAGAACTTTGAAATGAAGGATATGAGTGAGACTTCATATGTGATTGGAATAAGAAATATTCCGTGATAGATCACATGGGATTTTAGGTTCATCCTAAAAGACTCACATTAACAAAGTTTTAGAAATATATAAACTGGAAAACTGCAAAGAGGGTCATGTGATACTTACAAGGCACTAAGGACCACATACTCACCTATAAAAGGAACGAATAAACATGGAGGTTATAGGTTATTCGGATTCAGACTATGCCGGATGTTTGGATACCTGAAAATTCACATTCGGATATATTTTTCCACTTGCTCATGGAGCAATATCTTGGATGAGTGTGAAGGAGCCTGTCATTGCGACTTCCACTATAAAGGCAGAATTTGTAGCATGCTTTGAGGCTACAATTCAATGATCATGGCTAGGCATGACCACGGTTCGAACCGAACCGTGTACTGTTGAACCGGAACCAGAACCGAGTCGTCCGTACGGTTCCGGTTAAGGTTCGAGAAGAAAAGGAACAGGAACCGGCGGTTCTAGTTCCAAACTGGAAAAAAATATAAATTATAGGCTTTTTTTTAAATATTTTTTTGAAATAAATCTGGTTAGAACCGGAACCGGAACCTTACTATAAGGTTCCGGTTCCAGTTTGTCTATTTGCGGAACCGGAACCAGAACTGCGGTCACCCCTACATGGCTGCGTAATTTCATTTATGGTTTGAGCATTGTTGACACTATAGCCAAACCATTGAGGATTCATTGTGATAATATGACAACTATGTTCTTTTCAAAGAACGACAGTATACTAGAGGTGCCAAGCACATGGATTTGAAATTTCTGTCTGTTAAGAAGAAGGTACAAAATCAAAGAGTATCAATCGTGCATATTGGCACTGATCTTATGATCATGGATCCGTTGATTAAGGAATTGGACGCTCATGACCTTCATTGAGCATGTTGGAAAGATGGGCATACTGGTAAAGTCCTTGTATAACGGTTAACTCTGCCATACATGTATGGATTTATGTTTGATTGGCACATCAAGTTGATGATACTCTAAGATATATATTCAGATTTTGATTTTGTTATGGTTGATGTTGATCACTTATTTATGCATAATTCAGAAGTGATAACAATGGTCATGTTTAAGACATAAGGAATAAGGTACTTTTGGATTTTACCTTATTATTGTGGTTCAAATTTTTATTAACTGTGATACATGGAAGGGAGCGAGACGTTATGTCAGGCCTGTAACCGCCATGATTCGGTTAATAAAGTTCGATAAGGTTGTGGCTTTTATATTTTCATATTAAGTGAGCTCAAATTAAGGATTGAAAATTGTAAAGTCACGCTTATATGAATCAAGTGGGAGATTGTCAGAAATAATTTATTCCTAACGTTGATTCATATAATAAAGGTGTTATGCTTATATGAATCAAGTGGGAGACGGTTAGAAATAATTATTTCCTAACACTGTTTTATATAATAAATGTTGTAATTCCATAAGGTACTAACGTTGATGATTAGTGATGTGTAAAGGCGGAATTACAGGTGAAATTCCCTCCCTCTCATTCTGTTAAAATTTAAGTTTATAAGGATTACTAGTTTTTTTACGCGCTTTGCGCGAATGGGATAATGCCCAATTATTATTTTTAATAAGTATTTCAAAGTATATCAACGCAATATTATATCGGAGATGTTCATGCATATGTAAATCAATATTGAATTTGTTTATTTAAATCGGTAATTCAAAATATATAAATGCAAGATAATATTTATTGAATTTTCTAATCAATATTTGGTAGTGGTAGTTTTCCCCTACATGTTTCATGCATTGTGAGATGTGTGTCGTAGGTTATCATGTGAAAGTATTGAACAAAATATTAATATTTATTATATTTGTATAAAATACTTGGTAAATAAATATATATAATGTATTTTGTATTATAACTTTGATATTTTTTTTTTTTTTTGAAGGATAACTTTGATATTTAATTACAAGATAATGTAAAAAGAAGACAATGGACAATGCCGTGAATATAATAAATTAATAAATTTGAAGGTAATGAATCTTTGAATTGTAGAAAATAAAGATAATATAACTAATGAAATTATATCTATTTTTAATTTTTTTATAATGAAGATTTTTTTTTTTTAAATAAAGGCATTATAGACATCTAATTCTAAATTAATTAAATGCATATGTATTATTTTTTGTTGTAGCTACTACTTTATTTTAGTTTAATAAGAGTAATAAAGTGACATACATACTTTTCATCAACAATAACGCAATTGTTGATTTTTTTTTTTTTAGTTTACATTCGTTGTTGAGACAAATTGTTTTGAGAGTGTGTCAATGACAATTGTTACAATTCCTGTCAATATAGGATATAATAAATAATTTAAAATATATAGTTACAATTGATATTGTTATAATAATATAGTAAAAATTAACTTACAAATTTCTTTAGAAGTTTTCATGCATTGATAAAATTCTGATGTCTAAACTTGTTCAATTAGAGCCAGCGGGATGTCAGCATTGTCATTCGTTAGAAAATGATCCTACCATTTTAGAGTCCAGGTGTAATTGTATTTATGATCAACAATTTTGTAGTTAGGTCGTGCAGGCCTAACAATGATGTAAGAACAATTTTGTTCGATAAAAAAATAATAGTATAATATTTGTAAAGTAATATACAATAATTGTACCATTATAAAAATACATACTAAAAATATGAATACCATAACGACCTAAATCATACCAATAATGCAAAAATATAATTCAAATATTAAATTTTTTTCTAATCTAAATAATCAAAAGAAGATTAATTAAATCAAAAAAAAAAAAAAAAAAAAAAAACTTAACCTAAATATGTTTTTCTTTTAAATGCATAAAAATCAAATGATTTTTAAAATTCTTGATTTATAATCTTTAATTTGATGCTTAACTTTGAATGCTATGTATTTAGTCAGACTAATTATTTGAACAAAGTTTATGTTAAATTTTATATTATATATATTTTAAATATATTTTAACATATTCGTAGTATATGTTTAACAATTATGCCAACTCTAATTGGGATGTGGTTCGAAACTAAGACTTTTCTTATAGAAATTAATGTGTAAGTTAAAATAATAAATAGTTAACGGAATATTCCGTTACTAAAGTTTATGCTAACGGAATTTAAGTTATTTAAGGGAAGAAAATAATATAATAGAGGGTAAATAAGGAAAATCAATAAAAAAATACTAAAATAAAAATAATATGAACCATTCATTTTAAGAAACAATAGTATAATATGAACCATTCATTTTAATCATTTTAAGAAACAATAGGACCGACATTTTTTTGTTCCAGTTAAGGGCCTAACAATATTCGCTCTTATTAAAATTGTAGAACCATTCATTTTAAGAAACAATAGTATAATATGAACCATTCATTTTAATCATTTTAAGAAACAATAGGACCGACATTTTTTTGTTCCAGTTAAGGGCCTAACAATATTCGCTCTTATTAAAATTGTAGATGTAGATGTAGATGTAGATGTAGATGTAGATTGTAGATGTAGAAGATTGTAGATAAAAGATGTATAATGGAAAAAGGTTATGGGTTTCCTAAAAGGAGGTTTTACATTCCTACAAGGATTTCTATTCCTACAAGGAAGTTACCCATTCCTCTTCAAGGAGGGTTTCTCATCACATCTATAAATACCCAGAAAACTCTAAGTTTTCAAGTCTCTAAGTTTTTAGTCTCCATATCGTGATTAAGGTATACGGATCAGAGAGGTGAATCATTATATTCTTGATTCAATCAATTTAAAGATTACATTTCCAATGGAACCAAGTATGTTCTATCTTTTCTATTTAATTAAAAATCCATAATCATGAACATTGTTTAGTTGATTGATTTGATTTACATGCGATTCATTGTTAATTGTGCTTCCGCATTCAAGTTATAGTGCATAAAGGTTTATTTAACAAATGTATCTCAGTATTCAATACCCACGAAAGATTTAATTTTTCCAAGATATATGAAGCCCTACAAACTCAAGACTTTTAAGGTTAGACATATTTGTGATATTGGATAAAATATTATGAAATATATAAAGAAAGTTTACCTATAAATAGTTGAATCCGAGATTTTGTACTGATAACGTGTTGTGAATAATGATGATGATTATGATGATAATAATAATAATAACAGTAGAATGGAACTGGAAGAGAAGAATTCTTATTTCTATTGCATTATTCAGATGAATTGTACAAAGAGGATGAAGGGTATTTATAGTGTTAGCATGAGAATAAACAAATACGGAGTATTATTTATGCAAAAGATGAATAATTGTTGGGGTTAGCCTAGTTGGTTAATTAGATGTGTTTATAGCTTAGCCCCTTGCCCATCAATACATACTGCTTATAATAAATATGATCTATTCTTCTCTCAAATATTACCTATTATTGAGCTAAGCTTATGCGGACAAATATTAGTTACATTATTCCTCGTTTTGTCTATTCCTCCAAATCACCCATATATATAAATTTCCCTTTTTCCGGCTCAACCTGTCAAACAACTGATCTCAATCTCTCCGACCTCTCTGTTACTCTTCTTCCTGAAGGTACATCCCAACCTTTTCTTTTCTCCGATTACGCATATACAATCAGCCTGTTTATTTTATTTATTAGATCATAAATAATTTTGGGTACTTTTAGATCTTCTCTGTTTATCGTTGGATTGATTCTGGTGATCAGTTTTATTGCTATTCTGTGCAGTTGTGGTTGGGTATTTCCTTTGCCTCTTTTCCTAGGAGAAAACCATTGCGATCTATTGCTGTGATATAAAAACTCAATGGTGTTCCGCTTCTATGTTGCAGATCTAGATTTTGCAGAGAAACGTTGTGGGGCACGTTGCCAAACTTGTTTATTCATATTATTTTTAGGCAAAAACTTGTTTGAGACCGTCTCGCAGATCTTTGTTTGTGCTGTGAAACGGGTCGGTCAAGTTGAAAATGTAATACTTATACTAAAAATATAATACTAATCAAGAGTAAAGTGTTTTTTACTTATAAGAGAAAGTGTAATATTTTTGAAGGAAAATGTAATACTTTTACATTTTGATTTAAAAGTATTACATTTTCTTTTTATAAGTAATAAACACTTCATTCTTGATCAGTATTACATTTTTATTCTAGATAAAGATGTGTGAGAAGGTCTCACAGGAGCGTCACTCATATTTTTAATGTCAGACATAGTACTTGTTTGGTCATTGTTGTTTTAAATGTGTGACATAGTACTTTCTAAGTAGTATTGCATTGTGTTTCTATATATGTGTATCAGTGTATGTGAATATATGATGAGTATTTAAATTAATTGGATATATGTTTAGTTTTAGCTGTGTTTGCCAATCCTCGATCTTCTTGTTGGCTTAGATATTCCAAGTGAACTGTACAGACTAGAGCCCTTATGTTTTGGGTGTTCTTTGGCCAAAAATTTAGTGCCCATACATCTGGTCTTTATTTGTTCTTGGGAATTCTTCAAGAGGATCACGAATGATTGAGAAATTAGTTATAGTTGTCATATAACTATAGAGAACTATATGGGTGTCAATTTTGATTTCTTTATTTTAAATGCTTCTTGTTTGGGTCCTTTTAACTTGTTGTTGTTGCTATACTTCAGCATTCTGGCAGTTGGGCTGCATATTATTAGCAATTAGCAAAAGTGGAGGGTGTAAATTTTGAAACGCCTTTTATGTCTGAACGGACCTCTCTATTTCTCTCGTCTATTGGGCTATTTGGAGAGTATTGTCCTACGTCGAGAATAAAGGATAGAAATCTCTTGCAAAAGGTTGGCTGCATGCATCTTGAGCTCTTGCAGGGACATAGTTCTGACTGTGAGTATTGCCAGTTTATACTGCCTGCCCCGTCTTTAAATCCTTTTTGATATTTTGATCAATCTGACAAGATCGATCTGAGCTTATCTTCTTGAGAACGAAATGGATTTGCAAAACATTGGTGCTGGGAACAAAGATGATGCCTTCTATAGGTATAAGATGCCCAGAATGATTACGAAGATTGAAGGGCGTGGGAATGGCATCAAGACCAATGTGGTGAACATGGTAGACATTGCAAAGGCCTTGAGCAGACCAGCGTCTTATACTACCAAATTTTTCGGTTGTGAGCTTGGCGCCCAATCCAAATTCGACGAGAAGACGGGGACGTCTCATGTCAATGGGGCCCACGACACTGCAAAACTCGCCTCGCTCCTCGAAATCTTCATCAAGAAGTATGTGCAGTGTTATGGTTGTGGAAATCCCGAAACTGAGATTTTATTCACCAAGTCGCAAATGATCCAACTCAAGTGCGCCGCCTGTGGGTTTATCTCGGATGTTGACATGAGGGACAAGCTCACGACTTTTATTCTTAAGAACCCTCCCGAACAAAAGAAGGGATCCAAGGACAAGAAGGCGATGAGGAGGGCCGAGAAAGAAAGGCTTAAGGAAGGAGAAATGGCAGATGAGGAACGGAAGAAACATAAGAAAGAGGCCACTGCAAAGAAGAAGGGCTCCTCTAACAATTTAAAGAACGGTGCTTCGAAGATATCAAAGAAGAAAGCCAATGTCTCCGATGAAGAGCGCTCGCCATCTGGTAGCCAAGCAGATGAAAATGAACCCGAAGCTGAGAATGGCAGTGATGACGATGTACAGTGGCAGACCGATACTTCCATGGCGGCTGCTCAACAAAGGATCGAGGAGCAGCTTAATTCCGTTACTGCTGGCATGGTAATGCTTTCGACTAGTGAAGAGAAACCCAAGTCTGAAATCAAAGAGAGGCCCGAGTCGAATGGGTACGAATCTAACAACTCTCGTGATACTCTGGTCAATGAAATCAAAGAAGGCTTGAAGAGGAGCTCATCATCTGGTCAGGTTAAATCTTTATTGGGCTCTCTTTCTGGGTCTAACGACGAGATTTTTGATGCTTTCTTCGAAGCTCTCTTTGATGGAGTCGGAAAAGGTTTCTCCAAGGAGGTGATTAAGAAGAAGAATTACCTCGCTGCTCTCACACACGAAGAAGAGGGTACACAGCCATCTTTGCTTCACGCCATCGAGTCATTCTGTGGTAGAGCCAGCCCCGAAGCTGTTAAGGAGGTGGCTTTGGTTCTCAAAGCTCTTTACGACAATGATATACTGGAAGAAGAGTTTATTCTCGAGTGGTACAAGAAGGGATCGAACAGTCACAATACAGGCTCCCAAATTTGGAAAAACGTCAAGCCATTTGTGGAATGGCTGCAGAGTGCTGAATCTGAAACCGAGTAACGGGTTTCACTTTCCCTTCCCTATTAGCTATCTATATACTTCAATGCTGGTTTGCTTATGCATTTACTTGTCTGCGTGTTGTCAATATGAATAATGCTGTCCGGATATATTTCAGTTTGTTCTACAAACCGGAAAGCCATCGTTTGTGTTTCATGGTTAAACTTAACAGTGTTGTAAGCTTGTGTTATTGGAGTCTGGAAGTTTGTTTCTCCTGATCTGGATGATGGTTTTGTTCATATCAAGTCTTTGATTGGTTTGTGTTTGCATTTGATTATATATTTCCAATTTCTGTTAGTTATAACTTATAATGTATAGTTGGCAACCTAACAAATTGATAATTAGTAATCAGATATTGAAAAATCCAAATTGGGGAAACTAGGAAGGGCAGGATTTTGATTTGAACCTTGATTTAAAAGAAGAAAGAATGAAAGAAATATGTTGGTGGTGTAGTAAAATCAATTTTACCTTTTCAGTACCAGTTTTAGCTCTAACTATATCGAATATGCAACTCAAGTCAGATATCTCATAAAAGAATTTTCAGTTTATCTCATAAAAGCTTTTCAAAAGTGGCACAGAAATCAAGTCATAATAGAATGAGGTATCATTCCAATATGTTTTAAACACCTTTTGATACTGAATGACAGTGTTTAGCATAATGTATGTGTTGTTCTATCTTGTTGGAACATCAAGATATAATGCAAATTTGATTTCAAAACAAATCAAATCAGGAAGGTCTCTAATTTTTTCCAGCCTTACTGATGAGTTCCTAACCCACCTAACTACATCCCTAACTCTCTTAACAACACTATCAAGAAACTTAAAACCATCATGCGCCACTAAATTCAGAATATTGGCTATGCAGCACATGCATAGGCGGACACACAATGGCTATACATACTTCATCGTATCCAAATTAATTTAGAATAATTTATAATTGATCTAATTAAAAGAAAATTAAAATAAGTATTTATGAATATAATGTCTTTTCTATTCAAACTATTTTATCTAATCGATTATGTTTTATATTTTGTCATAAATATTTTTATAACATTTCAAAGTGTTTAAAATTTCACCCTACCCTAGTATAGTTTTGGCTCCGCCCTTAACTATCTTATAGTCTAGCTATCATAAATATTATATTATAATTTATAATGTATTTGAACCATATTATAGATGTTTGATATTTTTATTGACAATTCTAAAGTCGTGGCGAATTCTTCATACAAAATTGTGGAAGATACATTTTTTTCTTAGAAGCTAAGTGAGATATCGAGTTAAGTACGCCCCCACTCACATTATTTCCTAGATCCGTCACTGCACATGTGTATGTATTGACACCTAACATAACTTGTACCCCAAGTCCCCAAGACAACAACTCTTGCTTTTAAAAAACCTCAAAGCAATATCATTAGATGAGGCATTATCAACAATAACAGTAAAGACATTTTTAATACCACATTCAAGCAAACGACTCTCTAAGGTCTTTGCTACATGCTCTCCCTTATGAGAATAAACATGGACAAAGAAAATTATATTCTTATTTAGTTTCTATTGATCATCAATGAAGTGTGCAATAATGCACATGTAATTTATCCTCTGAATAGAGGTTCAAGTATTAGTGATTAAGTTTATCATAAATAGCTTCTTAAGACTCATCATTAGTGTAGACTTAGAGTCGTCTGATGGGTAAATACGTACAGAAGATTGATCCGTACAGCCGGTCCGTCAAGAAGTCATCCTGACAGGACTAAATCACTTGTGGTCAACCGTACCGTTCGTACCGATATGCCTCGTGACAAGAGAAGATACTCTCGGATCACCCTTGGAATCGCCCCGACGGAAAGTCACCCGATCGGTCTACGGTAGGGTGACCGGTCGACCTGCAAGATGACGTAGTTTGCAGAGCCAAAAACGTAACTTGCACGACAAGTCTTGGGATACAACTTGCACTTGCAGGGCGGCGATGGATAGCTTGCAAGTAGGACGGCTCCGCCTCATCGATCAGTCAACCTACGCATAGCTGCAGAGCGACCGCCTGACTGAGCCAACGAGAAGACGCCACGTCGATCCACTTGCAGCAGGCGCATTAAATGCGTAGACCGATTCGGACAGTATAAATAGGAGGACCTCCTCCTCATATCTCATCTTCATCTCATCATAACAACTACTACTTACTACTTGTACCCTTCACCCTGTAATAGCAACCCGCTTGTAACCTATTACTTACTAGTTGCAATACTACTTAGCCTCGGACCGCTCAGTCGTCGCCCGGTAGTCCGACCGACCGACCGGCTGACCGTCGAGCGCTTCATTCTACTCGTTCACAAACATACGTATTCGTAGTGTAACCGTAACCCCCGGTTCAATTTACGCTATCATTGGCGCCGTCTGTGGGGAATGAAACGAGTCACTCTCTGTCCCGTTACCATTTTTCCACATCTACCTCGCTTGATCGAAATGGAAAACAGCAGGAGGAGCCAGAGCCAGAGTCACATGCAGAGGGAAGGATCAACCCGCCAGGTTGGACGTCACCCCGACAATACGGCTGAAACACTCCCCGAAGATGATCTACGAAGACAGTTGGACCGATCACGAGGACTGATGAACGAGCTCACCTCCAACCACGGAGGACATGATACACAACCCACCCATCCGGTCGGACAGAATACCGACCAGCAGCCTGGAAGCACGACCGTCCACCCGACCATCCCAGTACCTTGGAATGGCGTAGTCAATCCCAATCTCACGATGCCAATAACGTACACCATGTTACCTCCGACAGGTCAGATGTTGCCACCAACGCCGGGTGCACTTGGAGAAAACCCCATACAAGGGACACCGCAACAGGGATTCACTCAGGTTTACCAACCGTGGTCTGGAACGCCGGGGTACTACGTTATGGCGCCAACCCCGCAAATGATGATGACCCCCCCAAATTCCAGTCGTGGAGCAGCATCAACCAGTTGCTCAACCACCCCAAGAACGCCAGCACTCGCAACCCCAAGATCGTGAGCCTGAAGAAATCCAGTCAGCAGATCGGTCACGAAGATCTAACCAAGAAGAGCGCCAAGATAATCATCAGCCCGACGCCCCTCAGCGTGGGAGTGCCCTCGATCGTATTCGGAAAAGTGTAAGGTCTCGGTTGGGACCCCAAGGCGACCAGGATCGACCAAGATAAAAATCCCGAGGGACCACGGAGACAGAAGGAAGCAGCACCGGAAGCGCGTCACGATTCAAAGAAGGAGGCAGGACTAGCCGGCTAGCCGGACGGGTCGGCGACCGACCGGTCAGAAGAGAGAGACACCCGAGCAGAGAAGATAGTCCTCGCCGTCAGCTGGCCAGGATGCAAGAGAGGATAGACCGTCTACAACAAGAGCTCCGTGAAAAAAACGACGCAAGTAAAGAGCCACCCACTCCGCTATTCTCAACTCCTTTCACCGACGACGTCATGAACACGCATTACTCGCAAGATCTCAGGATCCCGATGATGCGAACATATATCGGGCGTTCTGACCCTCAAGAACACATCGATATGTATTACGGCAACATGTTGATGTTAGGGGTGAGCGACGCAGTCATATGCAGAGCCTTTTTCGCCAGATTGGCTGGAAAAGCGGCCGAGTGGTTTAGAAAGTTGGAGCCATGGTCGGTTGGAAATTTCAGCCAGCTAGCTGACAAATTTGTGAGACGATTTGCAGTCAACAGATTGAAGAAGAAGCCATACACCTATCTTAATCTAGTCAAGCAGGGTGTGGGAGAAGCCTTGTCCGTTTTCTTACAAAGGTGGGATCGTGAGGTCGAACAGGTAGAGCCAATGGAAGATCAGGCGGCAATCCAAGCCTTCCTGACGTCACTTCGCTCCGGGGCACTCTATTACGACCTCATCGTCAATCCCCCCAAGACCTACGAGGAAGCAATCACCCGGGCCAGACACCATGCCGACGCGACAGAGGCTAATTTGGCCAAGAGACGGGATGAGCATCCAGTCAGTCGGGATAGAAATCATGACCCAAGGAGGGACCGACAACGTTTCAAGCAACGTGGTCGACCGGAAGACGGACCGCGATTCACTTCGTTAACCAGACCCCTAGTGGAAGTTTTGCAGTATGCCGAACAGTGCAACCTGGTCCACCCGCCCGAACCAATACCTGAAGGAACAGACAAGAACAAGTATTGTGCTTTCCACAAGACCAAAGGCCATGATACGGCGAAATGCATAGCCCTACGCCTGGTGATTGAACAACTCATTCAGAATGGAGAGTTGGATCAGTTCGTGAAAAAGCACGAACGAGACGAGGAGAAGTTCAAGAAAAACGTGTGGAAAAGGAACCCCAAAGAGCAATCTAAGGCGCCCGGTCCGCATGGGTCATCTGATGATAAGGCGACCGGAAAGAAACCTGTAATCAACGTCATCTATGGAGGCCCAGAAGGCGGAGACTCTTCACGTCAAAGGAAGCAATGGGCAAGAAATTTGTATGTCGGGTCGGTCCACTCGGAACCCCGAGAGAAAAAGAAGCGTGTAGAGCCAATTTTCTTCACAGATGAAGATCTTCCTTTGCATGGGGAAGCCCATAGTGACTCACTTGTCATCACGATGGACATCAATGGGACGGATGTCCAGCGAGTGCTAGTTGACACAGGAAGTTCGGTGAACATCTTGTACTTCGACGTTTTCACCCGGTTGGGTCTGACGACCGACCAGCTGACTCCTATTTGGACCCCGCTATCAGGTTTCACCGGGGACTCCATAAAGGCAGAGGGAGTCATCAGTTTGAATGTGGAATTAGGCATCCAACCAAATATCTTGAGGACTATCATGGAATTTGTGGTGGTCAAATTAAAATGTGTTCACAACGCAATACTCGGTTGACCGGGTATCTCCCAAGCGGCCGCCATCATATCAATGAACCACCTATGCATGAAATTCCACACGCCAAACGGGATCGGAGTGGTTCGTGGAGACCAGCGAGCTTCCCGTCAGTGCTACGTACAAGCAGTCAAGCAGTCCGACCGCGAAGATGCTAGGATCCATACCATATCCCAGCAAGTTGATGGAGGTGAAGAAAGGGAAAGGCCACAACCAGCTTCAGAGATAGAAGAGATCACGCTTGACCCCAGCCGGCCGGAGCGAGTAGTCAGGATTGGTCGGAACCTACCGGTCGGTCTACGGGAAGACATCATTGGAGTATTGCAGAAATTCAAAAATGTCTTTGCTTGGGGACCGGAGGACATGCCTGGTGTCGACCGGTCAGTCATATGTCATCGGTTATCCATCCAACCAGGCTTCAAGCCAGTCAAGCAGAAGAAGAGACATCTATCAAGTGAAAGAAGAGAATTCGTGAAGAAGGAAACCGCCACTCTCCTGTCGGTAGGACACATCCGAGAAGTGCTCTACCCGGAATGGCTAGCAAATGTAGTACTCGCGCCCAAACCCCCTACGTGGAGGATGTGCGTAGACTACACTGATCTAAACAAAGCTTGCCCGAAAGATCCATACCCACTACCGAATCCCGACCAGATGGTTGACGAAACGGCCGGGTGTGAGCTGCTAAGTTTTATGGACGCCTTCAAAGGGTACCATCAAATTTTCATGTGCAAGGAAGATGAAGAGAAGACTGCGTTCATAACCCCTGACGGAGTGTACTGCTACGTGGTAATGGCGTTCGGTCTACGAAACTCTTGGGCCACCTACCAACGAATGGTAAACAAGTTGTTCAAGGGGTTGCTCGGGTCGACCATGGAGGCATACGTTTGACGATATGCTCGTCAAAAGCCGATCGAAGGAGAGCCACCCAGCCGACCTGACTCATGCATTCAAAGTGATGGAGACTTTCAACTTACGCCTGAACCCAAATAAGTGTGCTTTCGCCGTCCAGACGGGAAAATTTTTGGGGTTCATGATGACAGGACGAGGGATCGAGCCGAAACCCGAGAAGGTCAGAGCCATAATAGAGATGCAACCCCCCCGGTTGGTTAAAGACGTTCAACGACTGACCGATCGACTAGCAGCACTCAGTCGTTTCTTGTCTAAATCAGCTGAGAAATCTCTACCTTTCTTCCAAATATTGAAGAAATCCAATGGATTCGAATGGACACCAGCATGTCAGTCGGCCTTTGAAGACCTGAAGACCTACTTGAGCTCCTCACCAGTCCTTTCCAAGCCGGAGAAAGAAGAAACTTTGTTCATCTACTTGGCGGTGTCCGATCGGGCGGTCAGCTCAGTGCTCGTTCGAGAAGAAACCAAAGGAGTCCAAAAACCAATCTATTACGTCAGCAAAGCCCTCCAGGGAGCAGAATTGAGATACACCAAGTTTAAGAAGACCGCATTTGCGCTCTGGGTGACCGCCAGGAAACTTGCAGCTTACTTCCAAGCTCACCCGGTGGTAGTTTTGACCGACCAGCAGCTCGGAACGATTCTCAGGAACCCAACATCGTCGGGGCGATTGATCAAGTGGGCTATGATACTTACCCAGTTTGCGATCGAGTACAAGCCGCGCCCCGCAATCAAAGCACAAGCATTGGCCGATTTCATCGTAGAGTGCACTGCGCGAGACCCGGAGCCAGACCGACCGACTGCTCTGAAGGAACCATGGTGGGAAGCCTCTACTGATGGGTCGTCCAACAAGAAAGGATGCGGAGGAGGAATAGTACTCACTTCCCCTGAAGGTTTCAAAGTCTACCAGGCCTTGATTTTCAAATTCCGACCCACCAACAACGAAACCGAATATGAAGCACTCATAGGCGGACTACGGTTGGCCAGACAGATGAAGGCCGACCGACTGAGGATACGATCAGATTCCCGGTTGATAATCGGTCAGCTTTCCAACACGATCGAAGCGAAGGAGGATCAGATGATACAGTACAAGGACATTGCGCTGGAGTTGTTACAGCAGTTTGACAGGTACGAGTTGATCCAAGTGCCCAGAACAGAGAATATGGACGCCGACATGCTGTCCAAATTAACTCAGGAAGCCCCAGAGTACGTGTCCAAAATCGCACAGATTGAAGAAATCAGGTCGCCAAGCATTGACATCATTGAGGTCCGACCAGTCGAAATAAGCGAGCCAGATTGGATGTACGACCTGAAGAACTACATAGCCAATGGCGCCCTACCGGATGACGCCACCAGGGCAAAAAAGGTCAAACTGAGAGCACCGCGTTTCCAGTTGGTCGACGGGAAGCTCTACAAGCGGTCGTACGGCGGACCACTCTTAAGGTGTCTGACCAATGACGAAGCTAAAATTGTGATTGAAGAAGTTCATGATGGAATTTGTTCCGCCCACCAGGGACCAAGGACGTTGGCACAAAAAATCATCTTGCTAGGGTACTATTGGCCTTCAATCAACTTGGATTGCGAGCAGTACGTTCGTCGATGCGCTACTTGTCAAGAATTCCACAAATTGCCTGGCCGACCGGCCACTTATTACCAACCGGTCAGCGAGGTAATACCCTTTGCGAGATGGGGAGTGGACCTGATCGGAGCGTTCCCAATGGCGGCCGGCTGGAAGAAGTATGTGATCGTAGCCATCGACTACTTCACCAAGTGGGTGGAGGCGAAAGCACTTGCAACCATCACCTCACAGCAATGCCAAAGGTTTCTTTGGGAAAAGGTGATCACCCGGTTTGGAGTTCCAGTCTACTTGATCACTGACAATGGGACGCAATTTGATAGCCAGCCATTCAAAAACTTTATGGCTCGGCTAGGCATCAGACACACTCGAGCAGCTGTAGCATACCCGCAAGCCAACGGACAGGTGGAAAACACCAATCGGACGATCCTTGATGGACTAAAGAAGAAGTTGCAAAGCGCGGGTCGAGGCTGGGTGGAGGAACTCCCGTATGTTCTCTGGACCTACAGAACCACTCCTCGACGGGGGACCAATGAAACACCTTTTTCGTTGGCCTACGGATTTGAAGCGAGAGTGCCAATTGAAGCATGGCTCCCTACTGCTCGGGAAAAGAACTACCAGCCAGAAGAAAATGATGAGTTGCAAGGTGCAGAGCTAAATTTTATTGATGAGAAGAGAGATATGGCGGCACGGAGGATGGTTGAGTACCAGAAGGCCGCCAAAACCTACCACGACGGTCGGGTGAAACCACGCTATTTCCAAGTCGGTGACTTGATACTCCGGCGAAGGGAAGCAAGTAGACCTACCGACCATGGAAAGTTTGCTAAGAAATGGGAAGGGCCCTACAAAGTCTCGGCAGTTGTCCGACCTGGCACTTACAAATTAGAGACCCTGTCCGGTCGACTGATCGACCGAGTATGGAACTCCGAGCACCTCATGAAATTTTACAAGTAGTGTAGGTTGACTACTATATTACATGTACTCGGATGATTAAATAGAAATTTTCCCTCTTAATGTCGTTGTATCATTTCCGACCTCGCTCGGAATATTTCAAGTGGCTCCTTAAAAAAAAAAAAAAAAAAAAAAAAAAAACGGCCAGTCGGCCAGCTTGTTTTCCTGACCCTATCGTTTGAGGTTTTGCCCGGTCGAGTTATCCCGGCCCTACCTCCACGATTTTGTCCGGTTGAGTTTGTGATTAAGTTCACTCGTTTTCCTAACCCTGTCGTTTGACGTTTTGCCTGGTCGAGTTATCCCGGCCCTACCTGCACGATTTTGTCCGGTTGAATTTGTGATTAAGTTCACTTGTTCTCCCGGCCCTATCGTTTGAGGTTTTGCCCGGTCGAGTTATCCCGGCCTTACCTGCACGATTTTGTCCGGTTGAGTTTGTGATTAAGTTCACTCGTTCTCTCGGCCCTATCGTTTGAGGTTTTGCCCGGTCGAGTTATCCCGGCCCTACCTGCACGATTTTGTCCGGTTGAGTTTGTGATTAAGTTCATTTGTTCTCCCGGCCCTGTCGTTTGAGGTTTTGCCCGGTCACATCATCCCGGCCCTACCTGCACGACTTTGTCCGTTTGAGTTTGTGATTAAGTTCACTTGTTTCCCCGACTCTTTCGTTTGAGGTTTGGCTCGGTGGAATTACCCTGGCCTTACCTGCACGATTTTATCCGGTTGATTTCTTCAGACCGACCAGTACGGTCACACTCGACCGATCGGTCTGACATGTCTAATTGTCACCCGCTTTTAGTTTACGAGAAGAAGCCTTACCCATCGGGTATCCTGTATGGCTTAAGCTTGACTACTACACTTAATCATTCAAAGTGTTCTCTTTGCGGTTTAGCTACTATGTATTTACAGGGTGAAAGGAAGACGATCGGTCGGATCAGCACATGAAGAATAAAAAAATTACAAGTAACCAGCGTGGAGCAAAGGAAAGGAAGAACACTTAAATAAAATATGCATAAGTCTGACCGACACAAGAACAGGGTCGGCCTCCCGAAAACAAGAAGTCAAAAGTCTTAGAAAAAAAAAAAGACAGCTACAGATCACATCGCATCACAATCAAGAACCTTGATTCCGAGAAGCAGCAGTAGAGGGGTCGGACGGTGGATCGATAAACGGCTCAGGATTCGCTGGTGGCCCTACTTCTCTTGGTAGCCCGATACGGACCTGTTCCCAATCCTCTGGGAGAAGTGTTTCTTCAAGAGCTTGGTGCAAAGACACCTGCATGGCATGCTTCCCCCTTTGGTAACCCCAGGCGGTCGCCCTACGCACTACCTGCAGACCGACGGGATCACGACACAATGCTTGAAGGAAGGAGACAACAGCGTCTTCGGATGAACAGAGTGACTTGGCCAGGCCAGGTAGCTCGGCCGGTCGGGAAGGATAAAGCTCGGCAGCCTTCTGGAAAAACGGGGCGGAACCGGGATACTGATTCCAGGACTCCACTTGAGCCTCTAAACTCCTCACCTTCTCCTTAAGGTCCCTCAACTCTATTACACGCTCCATGGATTCAGATCGAGCC